TAAGCCTGTCGTGCCGTAAAATCGGTGTAGAAGCACAGTGCACAGGAGTGGTGTGCACACGCGGAGCTCACATTTGCTAGGCCTCCAGCTGTTAACACAGAAAATCCAACAAGGGTTCCCATTGGTTGGCAACCCTCAGCATCTCATAGAGAGTAGGGAGGAAACAGCTGGGAGAACTGTTACTTTAACCCAAAATACTTCCCAAAATGACAGCATTGATAGGCTAAGTGAAAGTGGCTGAGATCTTGGAAGAAAACCAGTTGGTGAGCCTGGACAGGAAACATGACTTCAGACGTTTCTAGACTAGAAAGTATGAAAGGAAAGGTGGGCAGGTATTCTTTAAACTGGTAGAGATGGGGACTCAAAAGCACCAATTTAACTCGGTTATGCTAAAGAAAGATCCAGTGGGTCTTCTGGTGAGAGCTTTCTGATGACTCAGATTTTATTTTATTTTATTTTTAAGATTTTTATCTATTTGACACAGAGAGACAGATCACAGGTAGGCAGAGAGAGAAGGGGAAGCAGGCTCCCCGCCGAGCAGAGAGCCCAATGCGGGGCTTGATCCCAGGATCCTGAGACCATGACCTGAGCCGAAGGCAGAGGCCTAACCCTCTGAGCCACCCAGGCGCCCCGACTCAGATTTTAAAGGCGTATTTTCAAAAGATGGAAAGTAAGGGTAGCAAGCAGGGATGAATATGTGTAACAGTTGTGTTGGGGGATTGCACCATAAACAGACTTGCAAAACAGCAGGCAGATTGAAAGAGCTTTTAGCGTTCGGTTTGGTGCGGTTCTGGTGACTGGGAAAAGAATCCCTGCTTTGGACTACTTGCATTTGTATTAAATGATTAAATAAAAATTAAGTTAAATTAAGTGAAAATAAAGTTTTTACCGCTTTTGTCTTCTCCATTAAGAACAAAGATGCTCGACCAAAAGGGTTAAGACAAATTAAATCCTACAACAGAGAAAGAATTTGTGAAAAGAATTGCTGAGCCCTTCTATGATCTTGGAGGAAGTCTGAGGATCTTCAAGGGGAGTTTAATAATGACAACTCCTCTTTCTTGCACAAATCCTGAATTTTTAAGACAAGATGAAGGCATGTGGGGCCAAAATATCCCCTTTACCACTGAGAAAGCTGATCTTGGAGTATGTGAGCTTCCTAATCCTGAATTACAAACTTAGACAGTAGTAACTGGAAGAGGGCAACCCTCCCTATAGGTTTACTGCCAACAAGAAAGGGCAGGATGCCCGGAGTGTGATGAGCAAGGTGAGTCCCCCTCCCCAACAAGGAAGTGAGGAGAATGGGGATGTTTTTAAAATAATTTTTGAAACAGTAAGGAAAGTGGCTTAGACTGATGAACTTGGTGCCAATTCTAGGCAAGATTCTAGACTAGATATCAAAAATATGGCTTTTTGAGCATCTGTGATAGGAAATCAAGAATCATAAATTTACTAATAAGTCTTAACTGATTTTCTTTATTAATCAGTTAAAAAATCACAGATCATAAGAATGATAGAGTTGTTGTCAAAATCCTTATTTTGACAAGCCATTTGACAAGCTGTCTCTTTGTTTTAGATAAGATGTATAAATGTAAGTTAAGTGCTGAAAGTTGTGTGGATTAGTAAATGATTGACTATTCGCAGCCTGATCACTTTGAGTTGGAAAGAAGTTTTTAATGACATGCTACTAGATTATCTTAAGCTCTGTCACGTTCAAGATTCCCACCAACGACCAGATAGGGAAACACAAACTGGGAATAAGTGGAATAATAGGTTAGAAAAGAATTCGATGGAGTGACTGTTAATAAGTTAAAATACCATATTCACGGGGTACCTGGCTGGCTTATTACGAGAAGTGTGCAACTCTTGATCTCAGGGTTATGAGTTCCAGCCCCACACTGACTGTAGAGATTACATTAAAAAAAATTTTAGGCAACTGAGTGGCTCAGTCAATTAACTGTCTGCCTTTGACTCAGGTCATGATCCCAGAGTCCTGGGATTGAGCCCCACATGGGGCTCCCTGCTCAGCAGAGAGCCTGCTTCTCCCTCTCCCTCTGTTGCTCCCCCTGCTTGTGCTCTCTCTCTCACTCTCTCTCTCTCTGTCAAATAAATTTTTTTAAAAAGATTTTATTTAAATCTGGTGCGCCTCGATGGCTCAGGTCATGATCTTAGGGTTGTGAGATCAAGCCCCACGTCAGCCTCTGCACTAGGTGTGGAGCCTGCTTACAATTCTCTCTCTGGGATGCTTGGGTGGCTCAGTTGGTTAAGAGACTGCCTTTAGCTCAGGTCATGATCCCAGGGTCCTGGAATTGAGCCCCACATTGAGCTCCTTGCTCAGCGGGGAGCCTGCTTCTCCCTCTGCCTCTTCTTCCCCTGCTTGTGCTTTCTCTCTCTTTATCTCTCTCAATATCTGACAAATAAATAAATAAAATCATTTAAAAAAATTCTCTCCCTCTCCTCCTTGCACTCACTCACTCTCCAAAAAAAAAAAACTTTTCTTAAAAATTAAGTCTTGAACATTGGGTAGGGTATGTGCTATGGTGAGTGCTGTGAAGTTTGTAAACGTGGAGATTCACAGACCTGTACCCCTGGGGGAAAAAAAATATATATATATATATATGTTTATTAAAAAAATTAAAAAAAAAATAAAGTAAAAATAAAAATTAAGTCTTGGGGCGCCTGGGTGGCTCAGTGGGTTGGGCCTCTGCCTTCAGCTCAGGTCGTGGTCTCGGGGTCCTGGGATCGAGCCCCGCATCGGGCTCTCTGCTCAGCGGGGAGCCTGCTTCCCTGTCTCTCTCTCTGCCTGCTTCTCTGCCTACTTGTGATTTCTCTCTCTATCAAATACATAAAAAGGAAAAAATTTAAAAAAAATTAAGTCTTGGGGCGCCTGAGTGGCTCAGTGGGTTAAAGCCTCTGCTTTCGGCTCAGGTCATGATCCCAGGGTCCTGGGATCGAGCCCCGCATCGGGCTCTCTGCTCAGCAGGGAGCCTGCTTTCCTTCCTCTCTCTCTGCCTGCCTCTCTGCCTACTTGTGATCTCTGTCTGTCAAATAAATTAAAAAAAAAAAAAATTAAGTCTTAAAAAAATAAAATACTTATTTAATAGGTATTTATTAAGCATCTACTATATGCCATGTACATAAAGATAAGATCCTAAGATCAAAACATAAATTAGTACAATTCAACCTGCTTAAATATTACATAGGAGAGCAAAACCTAAAAATATTACACATTTTAATTGACAGTAAGTTTAGTGTGTGATTGGAAGTTAGGGTGCGATCATCATAGAAATGGAGATCTCAGGCATTATTAAATAGAAGTCTGGCTTTTAACCGAACTGTTAGTGATGGCCAGGTCTACTTGGTACTCGACTGCTCTAGAAAATGACTCTCTGTCTTGGGCTGTGCATTGAGAAATTGGATGAGATACGCATGAAAGAATTCCTCATGTTTAGTCTGAAGATGAGACACAAAGAGCTATAATCGTCTCTCGACATTTGGAGAGCCGTCCCTGTGGAAGGATACAAGCATTTATGAAGTGCAGTTCTAAGCCTTTGATGTGGATTAACTCATAACATCCTCAATCACCAGAGTTAATATTATTATTCTAATTTTGGAGATAAGGAAAATGAGGCTCAGAAGGGCTAAGAGTCACACACCTTAGCAATGGGAGCCTGTGCAGTCTGCCTGCAGCCCTAACACGTGTCCAGTGTGTCGCCCCCCCCCCCCCCCATGGAAGGTTCATTTTGTTCTCTGTGGCACCAGCTGGTTCAGTAGGTTCGGAGAACGAAAGTGCAGGGAAACTCACTTCAGCTCCGTGCAAACATCTTAGACCAGCAATCTGAAGGTGCGAGGGAGTCTTTTCTCTGTCCCTGAAGGTTCTGCAGCCCAGCCTAGCTCACTCCTGAAGACCGTGGAGAAGGAGCAGGTTGAGTCATCTGACCTGTTAGGCTCCTTCACTCTGCCTCTATGTGCCTCCCAGTGTTTGGTGTGAGAAGTCATGAATTGAAACTCCAGTGTCTCTTACCTACAGGCTAATATATATTCCTTATGTGTATAACAGAAATACTTTCAGGCATTTATTTATTACTTTTGTGAAGTTTGATATACTTTTTTTCTGTTTCCAGTAACAATTTCTCAGGTAAAAGTCGTATTGTCATTAAAACTTTTTGTCTTGCCAAAGTCTTCCTGATTGTAAGTTCATAATTTTTTTTGTAGGAAAATTGAAAAACCTAAATAGAGAATTTAAAAGCTCTTTTTCTTAAAAAAAAAAAAAAAAAAAAAAAAAGATTTTTATCTTGGGCTGACTGGGTGGCTCAGTCGGTTAAGCAGCTGCCTTCTGCTCAGGTCATGATCCTGGGATCCTGGGGTCAAGCCCTGCTCAGCAGGGAGTCTGCTTCTCCCTCTCTCAGCCTACTACTCCCTCTGCTTGTGCTCTCTCTGTGTCTGTCAGATGAATAAATAAAATCTCCTTAAAAAATTTAAAAGCAAAATAAAAAGATTTTATCTTTAGGTACTCTACCCCCAATGTGGGGCTCAAACTTAGAACCCCCAAGATCAGGAGTTGCACATTCCACCGACTGAGCCAGCCAGTTGCCCCTAAAATTAGCTCTTTTTTTTTTTTTTTAAAGATTTTATTCATTAGAGAGACAGTGAGAGAGAGCATGAGCAAGACGGTCAGAGGGAGAAGCAGACTCCCCATGGAGCTGGGAGCCCGATGCGGGACTCGATCCCGGGACTCCGGGATCATGACCTGAGCCGAAGGCAGTCGTCCAACCAACTGAGACACCCAGGCATCCCCTAAAATTAGCTCTTAACTATCTCACCACTCAGAGATAACCATTGTTAACACTTTAGTGTATTTCTCCTGATCATTTAATATTTTTCACAAATACTTGTCACGGAAAACTGTGGGTGCTTGTTTTAGACCTATTAAGACCTTACAGGGAAAAAAAAAAGTTTTATTTTGGTAAGTTCTAAAAAATGCATCTTTTTTTTCTTGTTAGGTTTCTGCCTCAATGCTCAAGCAGTTTCCCAACAGTGGCCTGAACCCAGGTCTTTTCAATGTGGGGCCCCAGTTATCTCCTCAACAAATTGCCATGCTGAGCCAGCTTCCACAAATTCCCCAGTTTCAGTTGGTGAGTAGCAGATTTTCCTCCTATAGCTTAAAAAAAAAAAAAAAAAAAGGCTATTTGCTTTTTTTTTTTCCCCCTTTAACTTTGATTTGCTTCGTTTTATGCATGTTTAAGGGTCATATGAGCTCAACTAGAAGTAGATGTGCCCAGTAGACCAGGAACAGGGAGGTCCTTCCCTCCTAGATGCTTGATTCAGCCACTGTGCTTTAGTGCACAGCTCACTGGGGTGTCTCAGTAAGTCGAGCTCAGGAAACTTTGCTCCTCTTTCCCCTCCCCTGTTTTGTAGGCATGTCAGCTTCTCCTGCAGCAGCAGCAGCAGCAGCAGTTGCTACAGAACCAGAGGAAGCTTTCTCAAGCCGTGCGCCAGCAGCAAGAGCAGCAGGTACGCGGGGTTGGCAGGGTCCCTCTAGTGCTCTGTGTGAGGACTGCAGCTCGGTGCCTCTGAGAGCCCAGCACCAGCCACCTGCAGTCTCTGCTGGGAGGGTCGGGGTGCCGGCTTCTCATGTGTCCGTTTTCCCTCCGGTTCCCCCTCACTCTGGCCTCCTGGCCTCCAGCTGGCTCGCATGGTGAGCGCGCTCCAGCAGCAGCAGCAGCAGCAGCAGAGACAGCCTGGCATGAAGCACTCGCCCTCTCATCCCGTTGGGCCCAAGCCACATCTGGACAACATGGTACCCAACGCTCTGAATGTGGGGCTTCCAGACCTTCAAACCAAAGGGCCAATACCTGGATATGGTTCTGGTAAGTGGTCAGTAGTGCAGATCACCTTTAACAAAATCCACCAGTCACGCGCTGAGCCTCTGGTGGAGCTCGGTCCTCCTTAACCCCTGTTTGCGCAGCAGGCACACGAGAAAGAGAAGGACTCTCATCCTGGCCTTACAGCCGATAGCCTAGAGTTCTGATGGTGTTTGAAAGCTGACTGCACGATGAGTAAATCTCAGAGCTATGCTTCCGACTTCTCTGGGTCCAAGGGAGTCTTTTACTATTTTCAAATGGCAACCTGCTCTTCTGCCATCAGGAATTTTTTTTTTTTTGTAAGATTTTATTTATTTATTTGACGGGGAGAGAGCACAAGTAAGCAGAGCGGCAGACAGAAGGAGAGAGAACCAGGCTCTCTGCTGAGCAGGGAGCCCAATGCAGGGCTCTATCCCAGGACCCTGGGATCATGACCTGAGCCGAAGGCACACATTTACCCAATTTAGCCACCCAGGTGCCCCTGCCACCGGGAATTTTTGAAAGCCAGTTGAAACGTTTGTTTGCGCTGTGAGTGCCACACGCATCTGAAGTTAAAATCTGTTAGAATATGTACAGGCTGAGGTGTTTAGCTCTACTGATAAAAGTTCCTTCTTGTGGAGAAATGGAGAACTAAAATGAAGCTTGGGAGACAAACTGATAGAATTCTTCTGATATTAGTATTTCATCTGATTTAAATAGAATTAGCTCAAGTAAGGTTATACCTTTGACATTCATCAAGAATTTGTTGGCAGGCAGATGGTAGCTCTTTCAGTACCGGGGAACGTGTGGTAAGCAGAATCCAGTCCATGAGGCAACAGTGACTTAAAAATAAAATGTAAAAATTAAAAAGGTACCACACACCACAGTGGGTTTTTTCTCAAAGTGATAAGATTCAGGCTTTATTTTGGTAAGGAAAATACTGTTCTGTGCAAACTCAAAAATAAGAGTCGGGGAGACCTGAAACCCTTGGCTCCTAGGAAACAAAGCGACTCGACACATAGCCCTGCGCTCTGCTCTACTTCTGTGGGGTGCACGCTGCCTGCTGGGTGTCCACATGCGGAGAAGAGCAGGGACTTCCAAGGATGCCTTGATCCTGATCCTGGATAGTTTTAAGGGAATTAATCTCCAGATCCACCAATGGTATTGTTTCTTTAAAATGGTTTGATTGAGAAATGACTTAAATTCAAAATAACCTTTCTTCTACTTGACGTAAAAGAAGAGCAAACTCTCCACCAGCTCCTGTCTTACTAAGGCCTGCCCATCTTGGGTGTAGAAATCCAGGGTGCTAAGCAAGGGGGAAGCCTCCCATGATGACTAAGGAGGGTGTCATTAACTCTGTGTTTCCAGGCTTCACCTTCCCCCCCTCCTTTTTTTTTTTAAGATTTTATTTATTTATTTGACAGAGAGAGATCACAAGTAGACAGAGAGGCAGGCAGAGAGAGGAGGAAGCAGGCTCCCCGTTGAGCAGAGAGCCTGATGCCGGGCTTGATCCCAGCACCCTGGCATCATGACCTGAGCTAAAGGCAGAGGCTTAACCCACTGAGCCACCAAGGCACCCCAAGGCTTCACCTTCTTACCATGTTTTCTGTTAAGGATAAAACGAAATAAGAACCTGGGTATTTTGGTATGTGTCCAGTTCTTGGGAATTTAGATGCCGTATATGATAATAAAGCAAGGTAGCTTTGCTTATTCCATCCCCTTTTGGCAGAGAGTGCGTGGTTCCCAGAGTAGGGTCTAGTCGTACAAAGCAAAGTGGACATCTGGAAGCCCCGGGCAGCTTTTCCACATGTTGAAATGCACAGTTCTTTTGAGCTCTTCAGTCTCATCCCCTACGTGCATGTCTTAGGTGGAAAGAAAAGTATCTTCCAACAACTTGAGCAACATAGGTTAGTGACACAGATACTCTTAAGGACACATTTTTTTCACAGTTTATCAGATAAAACCTGTGAATAGACCTCTTATGTGCTTTTATTTAGGCTTTTTTTTTTATGGCTGAAGGGTCAGCGTTTTATATACATACAAACACACTACATTTACTGAAGAAAAGGCAATTTTTAATCATACTTTTGTTTCAAAGTAACTTATAAATTTAACTATGCATTATAATCAAAATTAAGTAAGGACAAAAACATACTTACTGATTTATTTCCATTCGGTCACTTGTGAAACAGTAGATAAATTTTATTAGGTCTTTATCATATTAATTGTGATCTGACCACTTACAGTCTGCCTTATAAAATACACTTTGCGGGGCTCCTGGGTCGCTCAGTGGGTTAAAGCCTCTGCCTTCGGCTCAGGTCATGATCCCAGAGTCCTGGGATCGAGCCCCGCATCGGGCTCTCTGCTCCGCGGGGAGCCTGCTTCCTACTCTCTCCGCCTGCCTCTCTGCCTACTTGTGATCTCTTTCTGTCAAATAAATAAATAAAATCTTTTAAAAATTAATAAATAAATAAAACACACTTTGCAATTTATTTCACAGTTTAAAATGTCCTTGATTCCTTAATATTATGACATTTATTTGAACTGAAAAATACGTTTTGGGATTCAAAGTAAATCTAATTTGGCTGCCTATTTTGAATAACTAAATCTATAGCTATAAGATTTTGATGAGAATATACGTAATGCATACAGAGAGGTTAAATTTTTTTCAAAAAGCGTATAGCAAAGATGTAGTAAAATGAATACTATTTCACTTTTCCTACTACTGAGTATTAAACTAAAAAAGACACCTCTGAGTGAAAGAGAAGCACGAACAGTTAAAAGCCTGTTAGTAAGTCCTTTAAAAAAGCCTCTTTTGGTATATTTTCTCAAAATTAAAAAGTTGAATGAGTTTAATGACTCTTTAACTGATCCTTGACTAATTGTTTTTATTTTTTTAAAAATGGTTTCTCATTCTCTGCTTTTAGCAGAATTGAAAATATACCTGAGTTGTCTGGGGTTGTTTGAACAGCTGTGTACTTATATGTAAGATTTCTTGGTGCTTTTTGTCTCTCAGAATTTAAAAAGTAGGAATAGTGTGAACTCCCTCTCATATCTCTCATGCATAGATATCTGAACTAATCAAGAAGTAAAGTCCCTCGTCTTATTAGAAAATGTCCTAGGGCACCTGGGTGGCTCAGGCAGTTGGGCGTCTGACTCAGCTCAGCTCTGGTCTTGGTCTCAGGGCTGTGAGTTCAAGCCCCATGCCGAGTGTGGAACTTACTTAAAAAAAAGGAAAAAAACATACTTCCAATAAAATTTTACTTCTCATGTTTAAAATTAATCAAAATCTGGGGGCGCCTGGCTGGCTCAGTCGTCCGAGCATGCAATTCTTAATCTCAGGGTTGTAAGTTTGAGCCCCATGTTGGGTAGACGCTACTTAAAAAAAAATATATTTGTGTTAAATGAGCAACTATGGGTGGTTTGTTTCTTTTACAGTGTATTTTTATTATTATAAAAGCACGGATTTGTTTTTTAATCTATAATAAAAGGAAAAGCGGGAAAGAAAGAACTAACATAGACAAAGAGTGTGAAAGAGGAAATCCCAGTTTCCTCAAGGAGGTGGCAGCTGAGCCAAGCGGTAATGATGAGTAGTCAGTGAAGCAGCGTGTGTGGCAGAGAAGGTAATTCTGGCCAGGATGGATAAGGGGGGGCCAAGGGTTGGATCTGTAGGAACGATAAGATAGGTAAAAAGAATGTACTGGGGACACGAACCCCTGAGAGAGCAGGAGGCATGTCTTATTTCTGTTTGTCCCTCGGCTCCTCACAGAGCCTGGCACAAATGAGGCTTTCTGTGGGGGTGCGCTGACCTGAACCGAAGGACTGTTGGACTGGAGCTCAGGTTCTGTGCTGGTGAGCCAGAGGGTTACTGGGAGGCTGTTTGGTGGACCGAGGAGTGTGGTTTTGATGAAGTAGCAAGGACAGAAAGGTCTTGGACGTTGCTGGGCTTTGAGATGTGGTGCCTCACAAATGGCGTAGAGGTTGTGAGTCTTGCCCATTACTCTGGGGCATTGAAGAAAGACCCAGAACCATGTGCAGCCTCACGCTGATTCTTCCTCTCCCGATTTTGGGTTCAGAGGTTAAACCTTTCAGGGCAGTTTTATCTCCTGTTCTCTGCGCAGCCCTCTGGGTATTTCCTTCCCAAACCTTGTTCCTTAGTTAGGACGCTGCCTTGCTTTGGAGATGTTTGATTCCCAAGTCTTCCAGAAAGATGCCAACTTCGCTTAAGGTTCAGATGGAACTGCTCAAACTGTCTCCTCATCCCCTCGAGATGTGTAACTCTTCGTAATTTTCTACGCTTCACGTGTCACAAAAGGACTCTAAGCAGCTGAAATTAAATAATCATAATTCACAGTGGGTTCTAAAGACATTTCAGAGCAACTCTAAAGAAAAGGTAATGGGGGGGTGCCTGGGTGGCTCAGTAGGTTAAGGCCTCTGCCTTCGGCTCAGGTCATGATCCCGGGGTCCTGGGATCGAGCCCCGCATCGGGCCTTCTGCTCAGCGGGGAGCCTGCTTCCTCCTCCCTCTCTGCCTGCTTCTCTGCCTACTTGTGATCTCTGTCTGTCAAATAAAATAATAAAATCTTTAAAAAATAATAATAATAATTATAATTCACAGTGGGTTCTAAAGACATTTCAGAGCAACTCTAAAGAAAAAGTAACGGGGGGGCGCCTGGGTGACTCAGCTGGTTAAGTGTCTGCCTTTAGCTCAGGTCATGAACCTGGGGTCCTGGGGTTGAGTCCCACGCCGGGCTCCCTGCTCAGTGCAGGGGCGGGGGGGGGGGCTTCTCCCTCTCCCTCTGCCATTACCCCTGCCTGTGCACTCTCTCTCTCTGTCAAATAAATGAATGGAATCTTTAAAAAAAAAAAATAAGGAAAAAAGAAAAGAAATATGTAAGGAATGGTTATCTTCTTACTAATCGTCACGTTCTTTCTAGTCTTCACCATATAATCCAGGGTTACTCCCAAAAGCTCTTCCTCCATGGTTGGAACCAAGCTTTCAAATAGCCTGGAATCCAGGCACTTGGCGTTGGTTTTCTCTGTCAAAGGTAGAGGCGTTCCTTGCCCAAGGAGCAACCCACTTAGGCCATTAAAGCTTCCATCAGAGAAAGGCCTTACTGCTTTCAGCCCTGCTATCCTCCAGTCTCATTTCATTTCAACTACATAGGAAAACAGAAAATACCTTAAACTCTTCTTTAAAAAAAAAAAGAAATCAGTTAATTTGAAGTATTTCCAGCTTATGCCAAGAATTTCTGCTCCCCGCCCCCATGCTCCAAGTAATCACATGGACTAGTAAAGTTGCTTACAAACAGTGCGAAGCAGTGTTCTTTATATTAATAGCAACATTTGAAATATAGGTCAAGGTGTTAGGAATGATTTGAACTGGATCTGTTAACGCATTTATAAAACTGACTCTCACAACTCAGAAGCACAGGGAGAAAACGTGACCTGGGCCCTCATGGGATTTGGATAATAAGTAGAATCTCGGAGCCAGTGAGGCACCACACATGGTCGGAGGGTCAAGTGGGCACAGCGAGAAGCGTGGCCAAGCTGCCGTGGCGCATCTTCTCCAGAACCAACAGATGGGGTTTGGCTCCTGCAGCCGCCTGAGCTTTCGCGTGACAGGACCCCTGCTCACCACCCTTGCGATGGCTGTTCTGTGCTCACTGCGGTCCATCCTCAGTCTCTCTCTGGCTGTTCACTGCTCTTCCCCTCCTCTGTTTCATTTGTGTATTTTAGTACTTTATTTTGCTCTTTATGTCGAGTACATTCTGATCCACAGTGGGTGGTGGGGCCTGGGAGACCCCGTCAGCAAGCCTCTCATGCTGATTCTCCCCTGTTCCGCCCATTGCAGCAGGAAGTCATGACCCACCTACACTCGTGCTAAAAGCCTTGACACCTGAGGCTTACCTGGGGTTCGTGGCAAAGTTACCTCTGAACCTCTCCTTCATTGCCTGTTCGAGCTCTGGGGTCTTTGTCACTGCGTAAAGATTTCTTTCAAATTGATCTCCTGCATCTGCCTTGACCTCTATGTGCCCCATTCTTACACTGCCAGTTCTTTTTCTAAAATACAAACTTTTTTTAGTTTATTTATTTTTAGTCATCTCTGCACCCAATGTAGAGCTCAAACTCATGACCCCAAGATTAAGAGTTGCTTGCTCTTCCAATGGAACCATCCAGGCGCTCCCTAAAATACAAACTTAGTTTTCTCTTTCTCTCACTTGTTAAAAAATGTCTTTATCTCCTGTCTTAGGGAAAAAAAGGCCCAAAGTCCTTGGCCTAAAACATAAAGAACCCTACAGAACATGACTCTCATTCCCCCCCAATCTCCTGTCACCCTGCCTCACTTCAGCCATGGTTAGCCCAGCACTAGAGTCACACTGAACTCCTCATTCCCTAAATGTACCAGATTGTCATCAATTAAAGCTTTCTGCTTGGTGTCCTTGACTTAGTTGCATACCTGCCATCAGCCCTAAATCAAATATCCCTTCTTCTGCAAAGCCTTTCTTCAGCCAGACACCCTCACTCTCATGGCTCTTGTTCTGCCATATTAGTTTGATGTGTGGAGATGGCACTTTGAGTTGGCGAATTCCTGGCCCCAGCATTCTGCCTGGCTCAGGCGTTAGCTAAATGAGTGAGTGTTGGGGAGTCCTGCACATTTTCATACCTGCACAAAGAGCCATTGCTTTCTTGAGCAAGCAAGGGCCAAGATGAGTGTTTTGAATCAAAATCTCTGTTTCTGAGTGAAGAAACGTTTTGTGAATGAGTCTTTAAATGACAAATGAAGTTGGTTCTATCTCAGATCTCTTGGTTGCTGATACTAAAAATATATAGGAAGATATAAAATGTGGTTCTCTGTTTTAGGCTTCAGCTCTGGCGGCATGGACTATGGCATGGTTGGTGGGAAGGAGGCTGGAACAGAGTCTCGCTTTAAACAATGGACCTCCATGATGGAGGGACTGCCCTCTGTAGCCACACAGGAAGCCAATATGCACAAAAATGGTAAGAGCAAGCAAAGCCTTATGAGTTGGAGCTATACGGCCTTCCCGGGCCTTGATGATACATCCTGTAAAATTATTTTAAAGCACAAATCTTTAGCTTTTTCTTGATCTCTTGATTTTTTTTTTCCTCCAAATCCTATGATCACCTGTGAGAGGCAGGTTGGGGTTGTGTATATTTCAAATTATAAGAAACTTAAAATGCTAGCTGTAATTAAGGGGAACAAAATTTCCCACCTGTAATGGGATTGAGGACAGTAGCAGTGAAGTCGAGTACCCATTAGGATGAAACCCTAATATTTGGGCTGAGAGAACAGAACCCTTTTTTTTTTTTTTTTTTTTGAGGTATAAGAGATCACAACAAATATCATGTTGATTACTCGAACCCTTTAGTCTCCAAAAGATGGATGACTAATAGTACATGAGATTTGAACTGTCCACAAAGCTTTCTTGTTCGTAATAAATTAGTGTCCGCAAGACAGCAGCTGAGGGACATCACGGGCTTTGGTTGTGAACCGTGGGCTCTTCATTTCCATCATTCTCTGTAAATGCTTCTCTGTGTCCCTGTAAAACAGATAAAAGGTCTTCGAAACTTCCTTCAGCCTTTGCTTCAATGTTTATTTTACTGGACAGTAATTCACGTGGACTCAACTGTAGCCTTGAGAACCAGGTATAACTGGGTGTTGGGCTGGTCCGGCCGCAGTTCCCTGGCAGACCTGAGTGCCTCGGGTCTGAAAACTTCCAGTGTTCCTTTATCAACCACTCTTGAATCCGAGAGACAGTAAACTGGCCACATGGAGCTCCTCCTTGCTCTCCCTGTGTGCTTTCATTTGATTTCATGGCACGAAATCAAGAATGATTTATTGAAATTCTAACACCTATCTCTAGACTGAATAATTCAGGCCCAGCATTTGTAGCTTTGGGCACTTATCCTGCTTCCTTAGGCTGGTGATTTGTCAGGTCCCTTTGTCCCCAAAGACATGATTGGTGCATGATAATAAACACAAAATGTCATGTGAGAGGATATCTAGAAGTTTAAACTTCTACTTGCCTTTTCAGAGCTTATAGATACAGTGCTCCCCATTTCCTCAGCCATCACCACGGTAATTGAGCTCTTCATTTCCTATGACTTCAGTGTGATGTGCCCTTGAGTCAGATTTCTGTCAGCGGCTCCAGAAATGCAGGCGATGCCTTAGCAGAGCGTGGAGGTGGTTTTGATAATGCTCCTACTGGGCCAACACAGGCAAATTATTTTAATCAATATTTACACAAATATTTTAATACATCATGCTGGGAATAACTTTATCTGTTTATAAACAGCATCGTGAGGGGAGATCGGGTGACACAATGCGGCATGTAAAATTCATGTGAGAAAGAAATAGGGTAGTATCTCACAGAGGCCCAAAGTTTTATTGAAGGTGAAGATCCTTTTTTGTTAGGTTAAGAGAACTTTTGAGCTTTCAATGTTCTTCCTGCCTCGTAGCATCAGAAATGCATAAAAGGGGCACAGACAGAACTGCCGAAATCTCTCAGGAAGAAAGTTACAAAAGGATTAGCTCTGCTTCGTGTGTGGGGCCACGGGCTGCAGAGCTGCAGGGTTCCCTGCTCCCCTCATGCTGGAGAGACCCAAGGCAGGACTACATCTCATGGCTTTGGAATTCAAAGCAATGGCAGATGCTGTTCTCTCCAGTGGGCTCCCTCTGTGTACACTGCTCTTCCAGCTATTTGAGGTCTGACAAGCATGGAAGAACCTGGGGCGGTGGCAGGGGTTTGGGGGGAGGCGTCCGTACAAGTGTCGTGAGAACATATCCTATGTACCACGGATTGTGTCGTGTTTTTCCCCATTTCTCATTCTTGAGTCATTAGTATGGAAACTGGGGAGAATGATATGATTCATTGTTGATGAAAGTTTTGTTAATTTCTTAAACCGTGGAATTTTAAAACTGAAAGGAAGATTCGAGAATGAGAAAAGTGCTGTGTGCCTCATTGAGACCCCAGGAGGCTCAGGAAGGTGAAGTGGATTGTTTCTACTCATCCTGCTTGTGAAGTGGATACTGGCTCACCAGGGCGACCTCTCGTTCCAGTGCCTTTTTTTTTTTTCCCCTTTTTAGTTGAGTAAACATCAGAATACTGTTCTCTGCTGGATAAGAGACTTGACAAGTTGTGTTCATAAGAATCGTTTCTGGGTGTGAATGAATTTCCTTTCTCCCCTCAGGCGCTATCGTGGCCCCTGGTAAGACTCGAGGAGGGTCACCATACAACCAGTTTGATATCATCCCGAGTGACACACTGGGTGGCCATACGGGTCCTGCTGGTGATAGCTGGTTACCTGCCAAATCTCCACCAACAAATAAAATCGGAAGTAAATCCAGCAATGCCAGTTGGCCTCCAGGTACTGTCCAGGCCATGTTTTTTTTTTTTTTTTTTTTTTTTTTTTTTTTTTTGTTTTTTTTCTGGTGTATCGTCTGTTTTTAATTCTTAATCTTGGGTTCTGGGCAGATTGCTTTTGCCAGTTATTAAGGCACTTACTTTATTTTTTCATTTCGTAATTACTGTCTGATAAGAGCCAGGCATGTGCTGTGCTGTGGGAAAGATAGGACATTCACAGTAGATGGGGTCTCCTCTGCTCCTTCGAGTTCAGTCAGGAAGGTGAGGTGTGGACGCTGGTCCCCTGCAATGCAGGTAACTGTGATGAACACTGCAGAGGCACGGACGAGCTATAGGAGGTCAGAGGAGTGGAATTTGGGAGATCAGAGAAGGTGATGTGGGAGTATTGGCACTGTGGCATTCTTCCGTGCGTAGGATGCCTTGTAACATGGGATCTTCTGAAATGTCCATGTAATTGACTTGTTTATTCATGAAGCAAGTATTACCAGTTAGGTCCCAGGTATGCAGTAATGCTGCCCTGAGAGTCTTTGTTACTTTTTTTCCTCTCTTTTTATTTTGATACAATATTTTCATTGTAAAAATTTTTCAGATTTAGTTAAGCAAAAATAAAAAATCGGCGTGTCTCTCTCTAAACCTCTTCCTGTATGGGTGTGTTTGTAATAGGAATCCATTTCGTTTCCTCCCATTGAGGCTCGTATAATGTATATGGTTTGTGTGTAATGCTGTATCTCTCTGGGTTGTGATTGGGAAAACAAAAGCTTGTAAATCCTATCCCATGGCTTTGAGTAGGATTTAAATTAACCGATAAAAAAAATTGCAGACACGCGTCCACGTATTCTAGGCTTTCTCGTGATAAGCCGGCTCATTCCTGCTGTTTGTCCCTGGCCGTTCCACATCACGGTGGTCGCTTGCGTTGTCTTTTCTTTTGTGCATCTGAGCCAATTTTCGGTGAAATGGAGAAGTCACTCATCTCCAACCCAGATTTTCTCCCAGTTCTTGTTCTGGATGCCCGGACAGTTCTCCTGAGCACCAGGTTACTTACTCCTGACTTTGCTGCCCTCAGGCCCGAACTTCCCTGGGAGCAGGAGGAGCAGACACCTGGACCAGGCACTGACGGGCTCTGGCTCAAAGCCACAGAGACGGAAAATGTCAGCATGCTTGATAATATAGAGGTGCTGGCACAGTACCTGTTCGGGCTGAGTGTTTTGTGTTTTAAGATTTTTCTTTATTCGACAGACAGAGATCACAAGTAGGCAGAGAGGCAGGCAGAGAGATGGGGTGGGAAGCAGGCTCCCTGCCGAGCAGAGAGCCTGATGCGGGGCTCGATCCCAGGACCCCGAGATCATGACCTGAGCCAAAGGCAGAGGCTTAACCTACTGAGCCACCCAGGTGCCCCCGGGCTGAGTTTTTTATCTTTAATTTTATGATAAAAGTCTGAACTAAAATAGATTGAGTATTCTACTTTTCACAGATCTGTGTCTTATATCAAAAACTAACTTGAGGGGCATCTGGCTGGCTCAGTCAGAGGAACATAGGACTTGATCTCGGGGTTGTGAGTCTGAGCCCCACACTGGGCGTAGATATTCCTTAAAAATAAAATTTAAAAAAAGAAACTTGATTTTTATCATTTTTGAACAACCTCCTACCTCTAATATTTGTTCTCCTTCTTTCAGAATTCCAACCAGGAGTGCCGTGGAAAGGTATCCAAAACATTGACCCTGAATCTGACCCCTATGTCACCCCAGGAAGTGTGCTGGGGGGTACAGCCACATCTCCCATTGTAGATACTGACCACCAACTTCTGCGGGATAACACCACAGGTAAACGAGTGAGGCATCCTTTGTGTTTATTCAATATCCAACATTCTGTATCTGTCAATCTATGTTTTCATTTGTACCTGCTAATAATCTAATAATTTAATCAGAAAACATAAAAATATGTAGTTTTTCAGGGGTTTTTTGGATACATTTTTAGATACATTTTAATCTTCCATCAAAGGCTAAATACAGTACTTAAGGTTTCACTGGTTATACTGACATCTGTCTGCAGTATTTTCATCTCGTTCTTTCCGTGTCACCCAAAGGGTCTAATTCTTCCCTCAACACCTCGCTGCCTTCACCTGGTGCCTGGCCCTACAGTGCCTCTGACAACTCCTTTACCAACGTTCATAGCACTTCAGGTACAAGTATGACCTCTTTGTTTCCCTTTGGCTAGCACTTTCCCGTCGGGTTACTTTCCCGTCAGGTTCCCCTTGACAAAGGAAATGGGCACTTATTTCTTAAGGACGACTTCAACAGAAGCTAACTGGCTAAGTCAGCCGAAATGGAGGCACACCTCTTCTGTTGGCCGTGTTCTCAAGGAGCTTCCTGCAGCACAGAGACAGGATGAGACACACAGCTTTAGGACAGGACAGATGGTGACATAATTGCAGGGAGCCTTGTGGGAATTGAGAGGGCAGAGGTTAAATTTGGTGCCACAAGTGCTTTTCTTGAACCAGAAGGAATCATGGGCCATGGGAAGAGCTGGGGAAATCCAGGTTATTATTTCTTAGGCAGCCAATTATGGCTTGCTTTTCTAAAAAAAAAAAAAAAAATCCTTTCACTTATGGACAAAGGCTACAGGCAAATGGCCAAGGGGGAAAAAAAAAGAGGCCCTCAGTTAATTCTACCAACAACATTTGTTGAATTCCTTATGTGTATGTGTGTTACTTTTTTTTTTTTTAAGATGATAGGGAATAACAACTTAATGGATACAGTAAAGCCTTTGAAGTCACTCATTCAACACACTGCCTCACAGATTGGTAGAGAGATTATTTCTGATTGGCACCTTGGTCTTGGAAAAGTTAGACCTCAAGCCATTAAAGTCATTAAGGCTTCTGTTCTGTCCAAGCAAAAGCAAATGGAACAAATCCTTAGCTACTTTCTAAGACACTGTAGGTGAATGGCTTTACAGATTATCTTCTCTTTCTTTTCACCTCTGTGTCACATCGACAGGGTCACAATTGCCTGTCACGTATTGACTGCTCCTGGAGACCAGGCTGAGTCTTCAGCATGAATCCTTACCTTACCTTCATCAAATACTGGGAGCAGGTCCTGGCCTTCTCCCAATTTTATCGATGAAAAAACTCAGACTCAAAGAGCTGATACATTTTGCCTCAGGTCTGAGTGAGTGTGTAAGGGCACAACTCAGCAGTCCCATGTTTCTAACCACCACCCTACATTATACTTTTGTGGGACTTCTTTACACGTAAAAACTCATTTTTCAACCCAACTCTTTTATCCCAGTAACTGCCCGTTGTCTTCAGTTGAACTGTTTTTATCCTTTTGTCTACAGTTGGCCATTCACTGAGAGATGACCCAAGAATCACCTCAGACATGTCTAAACTGAATGTATTCTTTTCTGCACCACCCCCCCATTATCTTTTCCTAATGAAGTCTTTCCATTCAGTAAATGTCTTGGATGTCTCCCAGGGGGTGTAGTCTGCAGCCCCATCTCCCATCCATGTCTTCTGCTCCATTCTACTTGCTGTCACCCAAGATGAGAGCCAGGTTTAAACACTACATGCTCAATCTAGTAGCATCCTCATCGGCCCCCAGCCCAACTTTCCAGCCTCCTATACCTGCTCCTGTGAAATACTGTTCAGCCAGAACTGGAGGAAAGCATATTTGGTACAAATAGAGTTCAGATTGGACATTGGTCTATATTCTCCTGTCTCTCTGAGCCCATCCATTTATGTAAATCCTTCCAGACCTATCTTTGCAAACCCTTACATGATGGCCAAGCGGTATTGGTTATAATTGGATAATTGGATAATACACATTATCTCTGTGTATTGAACATGTGTGATGATGCCTAAGGTTACCAATTCTCTTATTTATCTGTTCTGTCTTCCCCAGTGAACTCTTGAGAATAACTGTTTGTATTACCCACAGCATTGATTTAGTGCCTTTAAGCATCTTAAGCCCTTAGCAAATATTTGTTGATTGTTTTTTGAATGTTGGGGCGCCTGGCTGGCTCAGTCACTAGAGCATATGACTCTTGATCTCAGGGTTGTAAGTTCGAGCTCCGTGTTGGCTGTAGAGATTACTTTTAAAAAACCTTGCAAGGGGCACCTGGATGGCTCAGTGGGCTAAAGCTTCTGCCTTCGGCTCAGATCATGGTCCCAGGGTCCTGGGATCAAGCCCCGCATCGGGCTCTCTGTTCAGCGGGGAGCCTGCTTCCTCCTCTCTCTCTCTCCCTGCCTCTCCGCCTGCTTGTGATCTTTCTCTCTCTCTGTCAAATAAATAAATAAAATAAAATCTTTAAAAAAAAAAAAAACCTTGCAAAAAAATTTTTATTTGAATGTTGATAGCTAATAATCTGGATCAAGAAAAGTACAAATTTCTAATTACTTTCCATTCAGTCAATGACTATTTATAGAATAGTTTTACTAGGGTTCACATTCTACTGTATCTGTAAGACTAATGGTTCTAGGAGTACTTCCCTTCAATTAATCTTCCCTTTCATGTTCTGTTTGACGAAGAAAGTAGTAGAGAATTAGTTATCATATTAAATCTTCAGTTTATATGTTGTCAATTCAGAGTAATAATCATTGACATTTTTATATTTATTTTTTTTTTTTTAAAAGGGTTTTTTTTTTTTTTTTTTTTTTTTTTTAAGGTTTTATTTATTTATTTGACAGACAGAGATCACAAGTAGGCAGAGAGGCAGGCAAAGAGAGAGGAGGAAGCAGGCTCCCTGCTGAGCAGAGAGCCCGACATGGGGCTCGATCCCAAGACCCTGGGATCATGACCTGAGCCGAAGGCAGAGGCTTTAACCCACTGAGCCACCCAGGCGCCCCGACATTTTTATATTTAATAAGCTCAAGGGGCAATGTAACTTTGCATTGCTACTCTCAAAATGTTTTTTTAACTATTTTTAGAATATTATTTATGAGTACACACAAATTTTATGTATATTGACAAAAGCGACCGGTCCTAACCTTATTCCTTCCTTAATTTTCTCTTCTTTATAGCAAAGTTCCCTGATTACAAATCAACATGGTCCCCAGATCCCATAGGACACAACCCCACTCATCTCTCCAACAAGATGTGGAAAAACCATATTTCCTCAAGGAACACTACACCGCTGCCCCGCCCACCTCCCGGTCTAACCAACCCCAAACCGTCATCTCCCTGGAGCAGCACAGCACCCCGATCAGTCAGGGGGTGGGGGACACAGGACTCGCGGCTTGCCTCGGGTGAGAAGGATCCGCCGAAAGGAGCATCGCTGTTCAAACACAAGGGGTTCATGTTAACACCAAACAGGAACATGAAGTCTTCACAAGACAGGCAGTCTGGTAGAGGAGGGAGTATCTCTTGAGTGGAAGGTAGCAGTCAGTCTAGGGCAGAGGGATCCGAGAACTCTCAAGGGACTGTTGAAGCAAAAATGATGACCAGCAGAGGGAGAACATTAGGAGGAAAACGTCTTACCAGTGAGGTACGCGAGTGCAGTGTTCAAGGTCTAGGAGAAGAGAGCTGGCCATTCAGTGACAGGGTGGAGGGGGTCGGAGGGCGGTCAAAAAGAGAAGCCCGCAGAGAACAGGAGAGTAGTAGTATGTGGGCTGTGTGAAAGTGTTTCTCACACGTGGCTTCCTGACTTTTTTTATTGCTCTTCCTAATTGTTTTTCTGGTTGCTTCAGCCTCTACCTGGAGTGATGGTGGTTCAGTCCGTCCCAGTTACTGGCTGGTTCTTCACAATCTCACTCCACAGGTAATCATGTTTCCTTGTGATTTTCAAGACAGGACTTGATTGCATTAAGAGAGGGAAACTCAGGTGTGGGATGTCGGCAGAGAAGAAAGCTCATTAATTTCCTGGTCACTGCAGAGAGGTCCAGCGCACAGGAGTGGCTCTGCCCACCCAAGGGCTTGAAGCCTTCTCCTAAATGGGGAGTGTAGGCCCAGCAAGGCTTAAGGCTCAATATCCTCCCATTTTTATGCTTCATAAATAATTAACCATCCATCTCGGCAGTAGAAGAAATCTGTCAGTTTCATATTGTGAATGTCACATGGGTGCTTTCAGTTTTCCGTCTGTTACTCTCTTCTTTGTAGATGGCATTACTAATTTGCTCTCTTCAGAACATGCCCTCTGGGTTGTTTTTACAGTGATGGGTTTCATTTGCCCCAAGCCACTCTATCACCTTGTTTGCTTGATAACTGACATGTTTGCAGCAGTATTATGTTGAACACTCACACGAGATTAAATGAACCCACTGCAAGTGAGCCCGTGACCTTCATTTGGACTTGACAGGACCCCCTTTACAACACCTTATTCAAAGGAGTCAATTATGTCTCCCTCCCTTTGACACATAAAATGAATTGTCTAGCATTTAATTCATAAATGGATTCATGCACACTTTAGTAAGCCAGCATGTTCTGTAGTGTTCCCATGGGATATTAATAGGTCTCTGGCCTAATATGTTTGGAATATATACTTGATTAAACAAAATTAAGCAGGTTTCTTCACTATGAGACTTCTTAGATCCTTTAATATGCTAACATGTATTATGATCCTCTGTGGGGAAATACAGCTTCTCCTAAATTTACTTGCCCAGTGAATCTGTTTGTGCAGAGTGTACCCAGGGCTTGTATTTCAGGGTACATGTGGAGAAGGGTAGTTTCATAAATACAGTTAACATGAGGAAAGGTCTGGGTTGGCTCTTAATCTCCGTATCAATTCAGCTAAAAGCCCTAGGTAGCGTTGTTTTTTAGCTGATAATTGACTGAAGTATGAAGATTTTATATGACTTTACTCAAAACTGTATATGCGTCATTAGAACATTTGTAAAGAATTTATTTGAGAGTGAGCACGAGTGTGGGGGGCTGGTGCAGAGGGAGAGGGAAAAGCAAATTCCCCACTGAGCCAGACACAGGACTAGATTTCAGGACCCCGAGATCATGACCTGAGCTGAAGGCAGCAGACATTTAGCCGACTGAGCCACCCAGGCATCCCAGAATATGACAACATTCTAAAAGTTGTCGCTCGGTGTGGTGGTTATATGGTTAGGATGAGAGAGACAGTAATGGATACGCTGTTTTGAAAGGAACCTGGGGAAGCTAACGAGCTGTCCACTTCTGTTTTATTCTATGAAAAATAGTGAATACATAACGTATATGTGTGTAAAATGAATCAGGGGGTTGGCTGTGTTTGTAGTAAAAAGAATTGTTTAATTTTAAAGCTCAGAACTACCTAATAGACTAATCTCCATCGTAGCTTAGAAGAAGGTTTTTAGGGCAAATCTTTGGAACTTGGATAAATTTACTTTCATTACCTAAAATCTGTTTAGAGGGCATCTCTGCTGAAAGGTCACTTGTAGCACATGCTCTAGGCCATGCTCATATAGTTGCTTATCATTTTCTGTAAAGAAATTTGGTGAACCTGCTGGTTTCCATCCTGCAGGGTTTCCGTGGCGAAACCACACAGCATTTCCACGGCTGCCACCAGTAGCAGGCTGTTCCGATGGTCATCTGTTTCCCTTCCAAAGAAATGAACCGAGTGTTGGACTCCGCAGCCTATCTCAACCTAGTTAAGACCTCGATACAAATAAGTTGATCAGAGTGAAGAAGTAGGTTTGTTCATCCAAGTCCTGGGCAAGGGAAACAGTCTCGAATCACTGGGCATGAGAGTCTGGCTAACAGGAGGCTGAGGCAGCAGAGTTCACAGAGAAGGAGGCAGAAAGTCTTACCCCGGGTTGGCCACCGTGGGAGTCCAAGGACACCACTATAGTCCGTGAGCTAGGTCAGTCAGCAGCATCCCACACCATGAGGTGTGATTAGCAGTGCTAACCTCTTAGTTCTCTGTGAGATCATTACCCGGGGAAGTGGAGATTACTACACTGGCGGTGATGCCAAGAACTGGGCATGTTCTCTTAAGTTCTTACTCAGGTGCCGTCTTACTTCTGCTCCCTTAAGCCTGACAGATCAATACACGTTCACTTGTTTAGCTCTTCAGGGAAAGACACTGCAGGTTGAATCATATGATTTGTTTCGAGCTGTGTTTTACAAACGTTTTTATTTCTAGTATGGACCCGTTAGATCTTAGCCCAGGGCTTTGAAAGTCTTAAAATTTGCCTTTAAGACCTCTATTCAGTGCACTCTTTCCTGCTCCGAGTTCTTCCTTCCTTTCTCCAAGACGCATTTTGTGCTGATACCTACCGTTATTTACAATCCAGAAGCCCTTCTTCTTCTCCTGCATAAGAAAGGCCACTTGCGTTCCCTTCACACCCCACGTCCAGATTTTAATCTCGTGAATGTCATTACCCCTCAGATTGATGGGTCAACGTTGAGAACCATCTGCATGCAGCATGGCCCACTGCTGACATTCCATCTGAACCTAACCCAGGGCACCGCCCTGATCCGATACAGCACCAAACAGGAGGCGGCCAAGGCCCAGACCGCACTGCACATGTGAGTACCCATCGTGCCCTCACTGAGACAGACGCGCATGAAGGTGCACACGTGAGTGGCCTGCCACCTGCTTGACGGGACACAGGTACACAAAAACAGCATCATGGCTTAAGCGATTGCTTGGTACTGAGGGGACTGCTTTTCTCTCCCTACCTAAGCACAGACTGTCCTGTGCATCTCATAGGCCACTCACCAGAATTCCAAAACTAAGGAATTTATGAAGTCGTGAAGCAGTGAGTAAATTTTGAGTGCCATGAAACAAAGCCAGTGTTTATGAGACTGTGAAACATTGTAAGAAGCGCTGTGACTTTTTGTAATAGAACCTAGCAACCTACCTTGGCTTCTTTGTTGGTGAAGGTGAAACGCAGTGGTCTGGGGGTGGGGGAAGCCGTGGTTTTGTCTAAAGTAGGTGGGACTGGATCATACCGCGACCGTCCCCACTCCCAGCTGCTGTCAGACTGGGAGCCAGCAGATGCCACGGCAGAAAGCTACCAACAGAGGGAGCGGGCAGCAGGGAGGCTCAGGCATGAGTGGGGCCGTGACACAGCAGCAGCACCTCCAGATGTCTAAAGCGGAGTCACCCCGTTGCCTGTGGTGTGACCTTGCACCTCCCCCGGGGGAAAAGAGGCGCGACGTTGTTCTCCACATATGAATTCCATATACCCAAGGGTTACTGATATGTGGTACACTCTAGTAGTCTTTGGATGTCCTGAGATTAGTGATCCCTTATTGATTGAAAACAGTGCTTGTCGAGCACCTGGTTGGGTTAAAACCAGGTGTTGATCCTGGAGGCCTGGGGTGGGGCCCACGATGCTGCGTTCTACAAAGCTTCCTGGGCATGTGGAAGCTGCCAGTCAGAGGGGCACCCAGTGACCCTCGAGGACTCAGCACCTTCAGTCCCTGTGGGTGCTTTAGAATTGCCCTCCGATCCATACCTGTTTCCTCCCCTTTTTTCTAGGTGTGTGCTGGGGAACACTACCATCCTGGCTGAGTTTGCCACCGATGACGAAGTTAGCCGCTTTCTGGCACAAGCTCAGCCCCCTACGCCTGCAGCAACCCCAAGTGCACCCGCCACAGGTTGGCAGTCGCTGGAGACCGGCCAGACCCAGTCAGATCCCGTCGGACCGGCTCTGAATCTTTTCGGTGGGTCCACAGGGCTCGGGCAGTGGAGCAGCAGCGCTGGTGGCAGCAGCGGGGCCGATCTTGCTGGCGCTTCGTTGTGGGGGCCCCCAAACTACTCTTCTAGCTTGTGGGGAGTCCCAGCTGTGGAAGATCCCCATAGGATGGGCAGCCCTGCTCCCTTACTACCTGGTGACCTTCTGGGAGGAGGGTCGGATTCAATCTGAACTTAGAACTTTCAACTCTGACCTCGTGACCTTTTTTGGAACAGCAGCAGCACTAACTTGACCTTTTCGTTTTTTTTTTCAACTTGCAATAAATACATTTTTAAAAGGAAAAAAGAAAACGGAGAGAGAAAAAAAAGGTGGGTCATTGACAGACTGTCTGAGCACATAGTTGCCTCCCTTAACTTCAGTTTTTTCGTTTGGAATATGAATCCAAAAAGAGAACATATCACTCTTGAAATACTTGAATCATGAACGCCAACCTAGAAAGACAATGTGAAGCAAGTACACATACCATTTAAATTTAAACACAAAAAAAATTAAAAAAATTAGTTTCTAGTTTTTCACTTTTTTCATGTTATATGGAAGTTGTTGCTAAGAAACATATATACTGAAAAAAAAATAGCTTTTTAACTTTGTTTGCACTGGGTGTGTTTCCGTCCTTAGGTCTACCACGTTTGGGAGGGAGGGGAATTCAAAAGAATTGCTGGGGGGGAGGGGGAGACTTGACGGAGCCTCACTTTAAAAACAAAAACACAAAAAACCTAAAAAAAAAAAAAAAAAAGGAAAAAATTTGTGATTGGCTGGTTGATAAATACCAGTGTGTTCTGGCACATGTAACTGCCCAGGCATGCTCGTTCTGGTGTGTGTGTGCACGTGTGTTCATGTGCATCCGCGTGCATCCTTCTCTCTGTCTCTGTGTGTGTGTGTGTGTGCGCGCACCCCTGTCCTCCTCCTCCTCCCCCATGCGATCTCAGAAAGCTGCGTTGCTGACAGTCTGCAGGCTGGCTGGCCGGCCATCTGCTTTTTCTTCTTTTTTCTTTTTTTTAAACTAAGAGAACACACAAGCGCAGGGAGCCACTGCTTACTAGAGCAACTCCGTTGGGCTGCATTAAGATAAACAGAGTGCTTTTTAATGATTTCATAAGCAGGGAGCGCCTTTCCATTTGCAAATTAGCCCGAGTGAGTTTTCTCTTGCTTTTCTTTTGACCTAGCAGTAGAGCGGAGCACTGCCAAGTCCAAAAAAGTAGGAGAGCAGGAGGCACCTCGTGGAGCAACCGTGTGTTCACTGATTTCTGGTTTTTTTTTTTAAAGTTCGTGGCCGCCGGGCACACAGAATACCCACTAAGTTTTATCCAGGCCTTTTCTTTCATCAGTCGGCCTGGGAACAGGCGATTTTTTACGTACACCCCGTCTCAAAGGCAGAAAAAGAACGCTCCCCCTCTCATGTCATCAGTAGGAGGAATTGAGCAGACGTGAGGTAGTGCCGAATTAAAGGTTTCCATTGGTTCTCTTTTTTGTTTTGTGAAAACGGACACAAATCGGTTGCGAGCAGCCTCCTGAGAACACCTGCAGCTTCTCCCTCTCTCTGCTCCTCTCTCGCCGAGCGTTACCTGTGCCAGGCCGCGGCGTGTTACAGCACGAGGCCATCACTGACAGAAACGTTTACTTAACGAATGTCCTTAAACCAGTGTGGACTTCAAGCGTCTCCTTTCGTTCCTCTGTGTTGTGTGTTTCCTGTGTATGTGGTTTTCGCTTAGGCAGGTATAACTTAGCAAAGACTTTTTAAGTATTGCACCTTTTTTTGGTTTTGACCTCTTTTTTTTTTTTTTTCTTTTTAATTTTGCTTTTTTTTTTCGGTATTTAAAGACTTTTTTTTTTTTTTTTAAAGCATCAATGTAGTAGTACTCTGGGCCGACTAGGGGGCAACTTTTAATCCACAGTTACCACCAACATGTATGTACTTAGTTGGAATCAACATGTATCAGACTGCTTTTTGTGAAGAGTTCTAGCAGACCCGAAAACCCCTTTATACAAAGCGGATGGCTGGCGGGGGCGGGTGGGGTGGGGGGAGGGGAACGTATGCCGGTAACGCCCTAGCACTTGGTGTGGACATCCCAGTCTGCATTATACTGTTTAACATAAAGTGCCGACATTCTGTACCAGCAAATACCTGCCCATTCCAACCCTTGGTGGGAGCAGACCTCTACTGTCCTCCGTAACTTGCTGCTAGTGAGGACAAGGGAGTTTTTCTTTCTTCAGCATCTTCAGTGAAGGATACAACAATGTCTAATGTATTTGACTTTTAGCTTGTGTCTGTGTGTAGGTGGGTGGGTGGGTGTGTATAGGAAAAGGCAAAAACGAATTATTTGCATTGAAGTGGTTTTAGGAGGCAAAGAATGGGAATTCTGTAGTCCTCTGGCTTACCCCGTTGATTGTATACCTAGCCTCAGAAGAGATTGACATGCATAGTTCAAGTGAGCGTTGGCTCAGCTAAGTCTTTATGCACCCTTTGTGGGTAGGTGGTCAGACTTGAGTCTCCAGCCTTGGTTCGGTCCCATTGGATGCCTTGTAGAAAGCTCACTGCGCCCTCTTCCTGCTCTCTGGTTGTCATCACCACCACCGTGCCCCTTCCACCCCTGCCCATGTACAAACGTCTCCTTCCGGGCCCCTCCGCCTGCTCTCTGTGTGTGAGGGAAACCCTGTGGTGTGTGGTGATGTCCAGGTGGAGAGCAGCTGTGTTCAGCCATCTACAGGAGGCGAAATCTTAGTGGCCCTGGGCCAGGAGCATGTCCTGAGCCCCCCCCCCCCCCCCCCCCCCCCGGCCCCCCCCCCCCCCCACGAGCCCGTGGCGACCCTGTCCACTGCCATGGTTCCTTGCCGTGCCCCGCCCCCGCCCCCCTCCTGCCTGCTGGTTCCTAGGCCTGCACTATGGGTTAGTTGGGTTCCTTACGATACTACGGTGAAAGCCGGGTGCTAGAGCCCCTCTTGTTTACAAGACATAATGAGGGATTTGAAATATGTAAAAATAAACATGAGAAGCTCAAATGTTCTTCCATCTTAAGCTTAAAGGGAAAAAATTAAAAACTTAAAAAAAAAAAGACCAAAAAGTGCGTATATATATACATATAAATATATATTTTAGATGAAGACTAACTCTGGGAGCATTTAACAGTGTTTTTTGTTTTTGTTTTTAACATTTATTTTCCTGCTTTAAAATTTGCAAGCATTCTCAGGAATTCTAGGGTAGGAAGCCAGTTTTTTGAAGATGGTTTATTTAACCGTATCTTATCCTAGATAGACGGCTGTTTCTTTCCTGTTAATAAACTTTTACAAGTTCCTGAAACTTCAAAAAGTTTAAACAATTTTTACTTAAAAAAATGTAAAAAGAAAAGTCTCCAAACATTATTGTCATACTGGGGATCACACATTTTAAAACACATAGAAAGAAATATTTTTTAAAAATTATGAATTTAGCAGCAACAGGTCAATTCGTTATCTTAAAAATATGGGAGAAGGTTTAGCTTTCTAAGAGCCTTATCACGGATTTATTTGAAATCGTGTGTCATTTAGTGGGAGTGTTTGGTTTGTATAAATGGGAATGCCATCACTTTTTTCCCTTCCATTTAAGAGTGAACTGACATCTCCCCTAAAGATTGTTATTTTTTTTTTAAGGGAACCCTTCTCCCTGTCCCTCAAACCCCAGCAACAAAAGAAAGAAAGAAAGATAGAAAGAACAACTTAGAAAAACAAGTAAACTCTAATCTGTAAAATAGTACGGTTGGATTGCTGAGAATCTGTGTAAAGAGCTAGGAAATATAGGTTAATAATTTTTGGAACACATTTTAAACATAGGCATTACTAGAGGAAAATATCTATGGACTGTTCTGTTAATGAAGAATGTCTGTCTTTACCTCCCCGCTTGTTGCGGCAGGAGGAGAAAATAAGCAGAATCTCATGAGGAACAAGTGATTTTGCTTTTTAGCTCCCAGCTACTGTTGTGCTCATTTTAATTGCTGTTTTGAAGATCTGCTGCTTAATTATCCCCATCCCTCAGCTGGAGATGTGGAGTATTTCCTTTCAGTTTTTCCTGATGTTGAATTCTCCTTTTGTATTCCCTCCTGGGGCCAGGGGTCAGAATTCCCAAGCATGACCACAGCTTCTTTTAAACATCTAAGCTTCCCAGTGGGAAAGAAACTCCAGCTCGACAGGTAACGGGAGTGGGTGGGGTTGCTGCCTGCAATTTCTCTAAAACCACTTTAGTGCCTTCGTACATACACCCAGACATCCTAAGCAGGGGGAGCTCGTGTGTATGTGCATGTGGTCCAGTCACTCCGCAGACATGACCTACGCTTGCCCATTAAGGAAATTGGAGTGGTTCTGGACAGGCCCCAAAGGCAGTGGGCTAAATTTAAAATAAATAAACAGAAGTCAAGGAAGTTAAATACGCTTTCATGTCTGGATAATGCGGAATGCCAAGATCCTTCCTTGTGTTATTGCCCTCGTTACTGTGCACTGACTTCTCCAGGTGTGTCATTGTGACAACTGCATACAGTGATTTTAAAGTCAGTTTGTGTTGGGCCAGTCGAAAGGGGTTCCTGTTTTTCTGCTCTTGTCCTACTTGGTCTCCTCTTTCCCCCAAGCCCCCACCCCGACCCCATATCTTTCGTCAACTTGCTGGAAGCTTTGCTTTATTGGTTGGCAGTGACCTAAGAACAGGATATAGTGAGGATATAATGGAAAAGAAAAACTCTTTTCTTTCCATGGTATTCTTTGGCAAGAGCCATGTCTGCTGAGAGGTTAGGTAACTTCCATAACACTTAAAAAATTCGGTGGGAGTGGCCTCTCTCCACCACATTGTGGCATGTGTGCAGAGGTTTGCTGGTCCCTTCTCCTTAACGTAGATTTATAAACACTTCAATCACGTAAATTTGAGCTTTCCAATTTTTACTAGTTTCCTTTATTTTTTTAAACACTTGGTTACTAGTGGCTGGAGGTGCCCATCTTTCAGACATCACAAACTTGGTTTCCGTCTACCACATGAGTAGCCAAAAGGAAAAAGCACTCGTGGGGAAGAGATAGATGTCTTCCATCAGACTGGAGACCTCTACTGGCAATTGAAATCCAGTGCCATGACCTAATTTTAGGTTTTTAAAAAACAAAAACAAAACAACAACAACAACAACAACAAAACACACACACACACACACACACACACAAAAAACAAAGTTCAGATCTCCGAGACACTGTGAAGAAATGGATGGCCCATATGGCATCTGATTCCTCCATACCTAGCCTTGACCTTTTCCATTCACAACATGCACAGAAGTTAACTTAGCAGTGCTACATGTTAAGGTTCCAAACCAAATTCTTCACCAGTGTCCCCCAGTAAATCAATATTATCCATTGATTGCCATTCGATCAGTTTTACTTAGAGCAGCTTAATTTTCTTAATTATGGCTCCTGTTCTAAAAACTTTCCCAACTCTTCTGATATGAATGTAGCATGAATTAACAATTGGTTCTTCCAAGTTCCTGTG